TAAATTATTTGAAATAAAATTCTTCATTAATAAAATTACAAATAAAAAGGATATTAACTGAAGTTTTCCTTTTCAGTTCAGTCCTCATCCCCCACAGTGTTTCTTGGGAGACTAATTCCAAGATGTTCTTAAATATCAAAATGGCAAAATATCTGCAGGTAACCTAGAAACATCCTTGTTCAACACTTGAAGTCCTCTTTAGGTCCAGTTTAACATTGATAAAATATAAACACTAGCTAAAGTGTTGTCTTGACAAGAACAAAAGTCTGCAAATGTTTAGTACGATGTATTTGCTTCAAGGGCAGCTGAGTCTATGGTGTGGAACCTGTGCCTCTGGATCGCAACTGTTGGCTTTAGAAAAATTCTGGTTTGGAGTTTTCTGTTGCTAGAAAGGCAAGAAGATGGTGACTACAGTTAGCAGTTGGGGTGGCTTAGTTCATAGTAGTGGGCATATGCATAATAATTTGCATCCTTGTGGCTTAATCTGAGGGATTCCAGAGTAGGCTGGACACACTGTGAATAGAAGAGTCCATCCCTTGGAAATGAAGGAAAGAGTCTCACTATACTGCTACATCAGCTTTCTCTGGATGTTGGTATCTCCCTTGTCCTCTAGTAATGCCTCAGCACTTTGGCTGTCTTCTGATAAATCATGGTCTTCCAGTTTCCTTTTCTTTTTCCCGAAAGTAGAGCAAAATTTTCTTTGTTTTTTGATATAATCTGCAAGATGCCCGTGGTATTGTCAATACATTGAGTATAAAACTTGAGATAGCACAGGGATTCACAGAAGTAGCTAATCAGCTGCAGCCTCCTCCTGCCTGTTTCTCTCTTCTGCTGCAAAGGGTAGGTTGTACCAACAGATTTTTCAGTTTTTTTCTGTGGAGATTGGTGAAGATTTTCTTCCAGATATAAGTCTGCAGCATTGTTTATTATATTTCCTCAGTTACAGACAAGTTTCTATGTAGGTAATGGAAGACAGGTAAGTTTTGCGTTCTGTTGAACTACTGAAGATCAGTTAACTCTTGCCTCAACATCTTAAAAGCATCTTCAAATGCTTGACCCAGCTTGTCTAGTTCAATGCAAATCAGTCTTCATTAATTAGCTGAAGTATATGGTTGAGGACGAAGCTCATTGGTAAAGTACTTTCTACCATACACAAAAGCTCTGAGTTTAACAGAAAGTTCAGTCCATCCAAGACCAAGGCAACAGTATCCTCTTGCCCAAGGCAGACAACCTCCCTCCCCCAACATAGTGGCATCCTCCTTCAAGATTAAATATTTGTAATAAAGTTTGGTGGTTCCCTCTCCTTTTCTCCTCTTCTCATTCCCCTTTCCTTTATTACCCCTTCCCTCCCCTCCCCTCCTCTTTCCCTCCCCCTTCTCTTTCCCCTGCCCCTCCCATCCCTTCCCATGCTGGGGACAGATCCTGGGGCTCTGCACAAGACTGGCAAGTATTCTGCCACTAAGCTTCATCCTCAGTCTGAGAAAAGACAATTTTGTATACAAATGGAAGGATTTATGAAGCTTTTCTTAGAAATATGAAAGGCTCTCATAGAAACGCTGTCTGCACTTTCATATAAAATCGTGAATTTACAGTTTCTCAGTCCCTTCAGCACTTTAGGCTGTAAACAAGCTTGGGAATAAACAGTCTTAGCACTGGGCTCAGAGAGTTGTCAACTATGAAGCTCATACAACTAATTAACCCCACACATCTTCAAGTGACTGCAAGTTCAAATGTGTTTACGCAAAATAGAGCCACATTACACATTTGCTTGTAATCACAGTAAGGAAAGAAGAGATGACTGTTTTTAATTAGTAATCTAATTAAAGCTAATACTTAAAAGAAAATATTGGCTAAAAACAATAAAACACAGCTTACAGTATCAACATAAACAGTAGTGAAGGAAGATTTTATTGTTTTTAAATCATCCATCTAATTTAGGAAAACACTTTCAAGAAGCACTAATTCAGAAACAGCCAGAGTGCTGGTGTAGGGACACATTCCACAGAGGTAGAAGCATCTCTGTGAGTTTGAAGCCAGCCTGGTCTACATTTTAAGCTCTGGGCCAGTCAAGGGTAGTAGTGAGACCCTGTCTCAAAGAAAAAAAAAAAACAAACCAAAAAGCCTCCAAACAAACTCAAAATGACCACAATGAAGTCTGATGCTGCAGTTCATTTTGAGACAATCCTCAAGCAACCATACTTCCACTTACAACACTCTGTTCGAAGGGACATTGGCACACTTGAGAATATGGCTCTGGCAAGCCTTGCCCTTCTTCCCAATTCCTTCTGCCTTGTTAAAACCCTTAGATTATATTCCTAAAACTAGCCATCAAGGTCTATTCCTTATTTGGCTATTTCCTCCTCCCGAGGCTGACTACCAAGGTTCTGCTTTGGAATTACTGAAATCCAGAAATCAAAAGAAACCTTTGGCTCACCTAATTAACATTAGCCCAATTAAAATTAAACACCTCATCCTAACATGGGGTTTCCCATTTTACATTTATAAACTGTCATTTTCCTATGTGCCACGTTTGTCTTCTCTCTATCCAGAGGGAGACCTAGTCCCCTTCTGCCCCATCCCCCATCTCCTTCACCACCGTATCCTAGCCCATTCTAACACAGACCTCCCCTTTTTCTCTTCTTAAAAATTACACCTGCAAGGTCATTTGCTGCTGTATTTCTGCCTGAGTCAGAAAGCAGTCACTTTAACTTTTCTTCCTTGCCTAATAAAGGATCTATCTCTCTGTGAAAACGGGTGTTTGGGTGTGGTTTGTGCCTAAGCCAGGGTCCAGGGTCTGCATGGAAGCCCCCACTGTGTGTACATGCACAGACAGAGAGGGGGCTCCTTCACTGTTCAGCTAAGCTTAGCTGGTGAAGTGTGGGGGTCCCTGCAAATGCTGACTGCCAGCAGGGAAATGATCTGCAAGAGGCAAGAAGGAAATCCAGTTCAACATGACTTAGCCAGGTGGCTCAAGCTTCTAGAGTCCGACACTGGGAAGTTTACTTTAGACATATTTAAAGTACAGTACAATTTTGGAAAAAAAAATTTCCTGGTAACAATTATATCAATATCATGTGCACAATAAAGCTTAAGATATGACTACATAGAAACTCCTTTGCAAAGTACATGTGACCTCTTCCATAAAAATGGATTCTATAGCTTGGTCTCTGACCAAGATAGCATAGAGGTTAGCAGGGTAATGAGTACAAATGACATCTCTAAAAGGATGAGTTCTATTGCCTGAGAAGCAATGCTTAAGATAAAGGCCAAAGGAGGAAGAATCAGTGATAAACACAATAGTCTGGGGGGTTCAGCTGTGGCTGGCCTGACAGATAGCAGAGGTTGTCATGCTATTAACTACATCTGCTCCCAGCCTTCTGGGTGGCAAACAGGTATACACATTCCATCCATTGAAGAGACAAGCTTGTGTGCTTAACATTCCTGGTTTCCCTACTGCTTATCTGTGAGCTCATTCCCTCTACAGTGAAGTCACCTAAGAAAAATCAGTAATGGCAGCTTATGCCTGAACTATTAGAAATAACCACAGTTTAGAACGAGCAAAATATGTCCTTTCCAGTAAGCCATAGGAATTATTTCGTAGTCCTTAGCCATAGAAAAATAGAACTCACTTAGAAATAAATAAACAATTCCATTTAAAGCAAAATTGTTTCATACCCTAAAACAACAGCATCATTACCTCCTTGTAAATTTGAATAGTGAAGGAAATTTAGCTTCCTTTTAAATATACATTTTATAATTATTTCATTCACAGAAACTGAAATAACAGAAAAGGGCTATTATGTGAGGAAAATCTTGTTCACATAAAAATTCCTTATATCACTTGAGTTTGAAATGTGGGCTACATTACATCTGTGCATGTGTAACACAGTAACACAGTAACACAGATTTCCATATACAAAAGGTAGTCTTTAGCCACCAACCTTGGGGGTGAGTCAGAGCTTACATGTCATGGGAGTAATAACTCAGGACCCCCCAAAAAATCATAGAGAACTGAGAAAGGGCTGGACCTGGTCTAAGATCAACTGAGTATTCTGGCAGTATTCTCTTTTGTCTTTGTACAGAAGATAAAACAGCTACAATAAGTAATAAAATGCTAAGCCCTGGTCCACAGTGTCTGCTGGTTCAGGCTCACTGGGCCCTTGCTTGTGCTGTCCTGCATTTTGATGGATGGCAGCACTTTACTGTGAAGCACTTGGAGAGGCCGCTCCCCAAAGTGACAGTTCTGCCTCCAGCAACACTGGGCTTCCTTTGTGCTCCTACAAAGTGAACCATGTCCTTGTCCCACAGCCACTAAGACATAAAGTGGTTTGTTACAAAGAAAACTGATCACAAGACAGTTGCTAACTCCTGCCCCCTCCATTCAGAAACTACATGGTTCTCTTTGCCTTGTCTGACCCTGCCCTTCTTCAGCTCTGCCTCTGAGTGCACGTCTCTGGCTCTGGGCTGAAATTGGACAGGCCCACTTCTGTCCTGCAAGAACACACACTAAGGCATTTAAAAAACACCTTGAAAAATAGTAATCAGTGTAAATAGGAAACAAAGGTCTTAGAAAATAAAAGAAAATCAAGACTAGGGATGTAGTTCAATGATGGGGCATTTGCCCAGCACATTTGATAGCATGGGTTTGATTCTCAGCAATGATAAAAGCAAAAAGGAAACCAAACAACACACTTTGATGGACACAATAGCAAAAGATTGTATTCTGAGTGCTTTGGAGGCTAGGGTAGGAGGGACACAGATTTAAGGCAACTGGGTCACATAGGAAGCCATTGTCTCAAAAATAGAACACAACACACACACACACACACACACCAAATAAACAAAGGAGGAAAAAGGACAGAAGGAAAGAGGAGCACTAAGAAGCTGTCAGAACGATGGCAACAAGCTTCCTGTGCAATACAACAGACCAGCCACTGCTCTAGGTACTCCAGGGACTTCACACATCAAATCCTAATAAAACACACAAGGAAGGTAGATACCTCAGTGAGCCTCCACTTTGCAGACGGCACAGGATGCAGAGAAGCCAGGATATGTGCCTGGTGGCATCGACTGTGCCACATAGGCAGGAGTCACACTCAGGCAAGCCCATCCAGAGGACACAATCTTAATTCTGCCTCCAAGGAGAAACTGTGAGAATCAAAAATATGCTGTAAGGATCAGTATACATATCATAAATGGAAGTCTATGTTACTGTAGGTGACAGTGCCTATTTCTTTGTCTGTCTGTCTTTCTGTCTAGCTGAAATGTACACTCTTCATGCTGCCCAGGCTTATGGGAAATTCCTTCTACCTCAGCCTCTCAAATACCTGGGACTGAGGGAGAGCACCATTGTGTCCAGTTTTCTTTGTCTCTTTAAGACAGATTCACTTAGAAGTAGTTCTGGTTTCTGATATTAGGAACTGAATTGAGAAGGCCTTTATCAAAACAATGAACAGGATGAGTCTCAACAGCTTTGTGTGGTGATCCAGTCACAGACACTCTTACAAGTGCTTTAAAAAACAAGTCTTTGCTTTCAAAGTCATTGGTCAATGACCAGTTAAATAACCTGAGGGACAAAAGGAAGGAAATGTCACTGATGAAGGCTGGTAGCCATATGTAGACTGGCACACAAGCCGCCACCTTCGGGCTCAAGCTCTTGGGCCCTTGACATTACTCACCTTCATCGCTGGCAGTTCTAGAAAACCCAAGAGGACATGACTGGGGGCAGCTGCTTATTTAGCTCCTTCCAATTTCCGTTTTAGCTACTGAAATCAGAGGCCCTGCATTTCCTTGAGACAATCCTCCCTGAATTTAAATGTCATGAACTGAAACCACCGTGAAGGACACTAAGACCATACAGCTATTAAAGTCAGAGCTGTGAACTGGAGCGAAAGCTAAGGTATCTAAGAAGGAATGCACAAAGTAGACACCAACCCTCACCAAAAGGAAGGAGTACAAGACAGGCACAAAAAGAACCTGAGGTATGTCCTTCCAGCAAGCAAGGTCATGTTCAAAGATAAAGGGGTCATGCCAGAGCCCTGTGGACAGGTTTAAACTGAGCCCCCTGGGTGCAATAACTGTAAACGATAACAGTCTGTGTATAAAAATCCAAGACCTTAGTGAGAGAGAAAGGGATACAGACATTAAGTTTCCTGTTACAGAAGAATTAGGAAACTGTCATAGTAAATTATTTAAGTACAGTTGGTTGGTGAGTGCAAGAATTGGGGTTAAACAGCTGTTGGGAGAATGAGATTTTCAGTGGTCAAAAGGAAAATTTTCAAGTTTACCTTTACCAGTGTATCTGCCTATAATCACCTAATCCTTTGCTCAGAAGATTGAGTTTCTCATCACTAACCATGAAGAAGTTGGCACTTCATGTTCCTGACAGGATGCAGAATGAACAGTTCATCATTTGCAAAGCGTTCTTGCCAAACACGTTTAGGCCGATGACAAGCAGCCTTTACATCTACCTTCCAATCAGAGCAAACTTGCCAGCTACAGCAGCAGCTTAGAAGAAACTACAAAAAAATCAGACAAACCCAGAATACATATCATTGTGTATTTGTCCAAAACCAGAGAAAAATAAACTAAAAGTGAAATAACTAACCCCCAACCTCCACCAGATGCAAGTATTCTCTTGTTTACCAAGGTGGGGCGTTGGGTGTTTATCAGAGAGCAGTACTTCCAATCCATCAGGTAACTCCTGCCCACTTATCCAGAAATAACACGATGCCATTTTGGAGTAAACATTACCTTATGCTAGTATCCATGGCTATTAATGAAAAGAAGGTAGGTCAATAATAATGATGATAACGATGGTGCTTTGGCTAGTCCCTTGTTAGAGGAGGGAAGGGTCACAAAGAGAAAACAAATAAAAATGTACTATGAATTAAAAAAAAAAAAAAAAAGAACCCAGGAGGAGATTTATTTTAGCACCAGGGAAGCTGATTGCAGACTTCAACCTCCAAAACTGTAATGTAATACAACACTGTTTTAATCATTGACTTTTTGGTAATTTGTTATAGAGAAAATGAGAATTTTCAATTCTACAAATGAAACTAGATAATATAATTGCTGTTTAGATTTTTGTCAACTTGACACAAATCTAGACATAGTTAGTCATAGTTATTCCTCAATTGAGGAATAGTCTCCATCAGAGTGAGGGTTGTTGTTTTTTTTTTTTTAATTGCTGATCGATGTAGGAGGGACCAGCCCACTGTGAGCATTGCCACTCCTGAACTAGAAGATTGGGCTGTATAAGAAAGGCAGTTGAAAAATCCAGAGGAACAAGCCAGTAAGGGACATTCCTAAACAGCCTTTGACTTAGTTCCTGCCTTGATTTCCTAACTTGGCTTTTCTTATTGATGGATTGTAACCTTTAAGCCAAATAAACTCTTTCCTCTTCAAGTTACTTTCAGACTTGGATTGTATCACAACAACTGGAAAACAAACGAGGACATACAGTTTCCCACTCTAGAACCTTTCCTCTATCCTATTCTAGCCAGAAATGTCTGATTCTTATTTCTATCTGAGGAACTCACACATTTCGGTGCCCTCCCCCAGTGCCTTCAGCCCAGCCTATCTACCTCTCCAAGTTTCAAAGTCTTTGAAAGACAGGGCAATATGCTAATCTTCTGTGACATCCACTGTAAGCTTCACAGTATACTTTCTAGTGTCCACACATTCAGTATTTGATAAGTCTTGTTTTTTCTTGGAAAATCTTGGGATCCATCTAAATATTAGGACAAACAAAGTAAGTATTGCCTAAGTGCTATGAGAAAAAATAAAGCTTTGAAAATGGGAGCATAGTGGCTGAAGAGATGGATCAGTGGTTAAGGGTACTTGTTGCCCTTGTAAAAGACCCAGGTTCAGTTCCCAGTGCCCAAATAGTAGCTCTCAACCATCTGCAACTTTACTTCCTAGGATCTGATGCCCTCTTCTGACTTCTGTGGGCACCAAGCATACACATGGCTCATATACATGCAGACAAAGCATCCACACACATAAAATAAAAATAAATAAGTCTAAAAAATAATAAAATAAAGAAAAATGTGTGCTGTGGGACATAATTTCATGCCTCCTGTGACAAACATTCACATTCATTTTATTAGACATGTTTGTTCTTGTTGGGTATCAGAACATAGCTATAGAACCCAGCCTGGTCAGTGTAACCTGAATCTGGATATGGCCTTCTGCCTTGCTTTCATAGATATAATATACAGTACGTGCCAGATAATTTTGTTTAAATTAGTCTGTCCTAGGAAATTTCTGGTTAAAGGCTGCTCTGTTAATATTTAGAATGTTTTATTTACAGGTTTAGTAGTTTATTTACATGTTTTTCTGAACTCAAACAACCTTCCTTGGATCATTGTTTTCTTTGTTACATCTGTGTATAAAAGCACCCTGAAACTGAAGTAAGGTTTCTACCGTATTAGACTGTGGTCTGCCCACTTTTTCAGGCCCTCAGAGCCCAGGTCCGACATACAAGATCTGCACAGATCAGCCAAAAAGTCAACGGTCGTGAGGACAAACCAGCTGCTTGGAGTATTTTCAGAATGTCCACTTCAAATGAACCATGTTCAGTGTCTGATGACCGCAGTAGATTTATAGTGTTCTCATGACTAGAAAGCCATTTTGGTAGGCTGGTGTTAAATACTCTAGCTCAATAAAGGACAAGTTTAATTATGCAGGAACAAATAATGCTAGTTGTTTGTTTTTTTTTTAACTTTTTGTATCTTTGAGTTGAGTATTTACATTTGGTAGTTTGGTAGTGTAGAGTGAGCATCTTGTCTTAAAGCCAGAATGATGTAGATTCTGTCCACAATGTTTAATAGATTTACATATTAAGTTAGCCTTTGTTTCATATATCAACGGAGGTGATAGCCACCTCTCAAAGTGTTTAAAGGATTAAGAGATGGTATATATGAGAAAGAAATAAAAACTAATGGCAGACAAAATGTCTGTCTATTATTTGTTTGAGACAGGGTCCCACTATGCATCCCAAGCTGGTCTGGAACTTGCTAGGTAGCCTGGGCTGAATTTTCTGATTCTTCTACCTTGGGAGTGCTTGGATTACAGGAACAAAACATGACTCATGTTTTTAAATTACAAGATAAACTGCAGCTAATTTTAAGACTAATTTTTAAAAAAAGACAAAGAATACACAATTACTCCAATAATAAAAAAAAGTCCAACAATTTCCAAAGCATTTGTGGAGGAAGGAAAGAGATTTGAGGCTTGGGAAATGAGAAGGTAGAGTATACCAAGATGGAGGAAAACTATGACCCAAAGAGAGGAGATCTGGCAACAAGAAAGTCCCTGAAGCCAACAAGGCTCTTAA